GAGGACAAGAATTTCCATTTTACTTTTCAAATTCAGGAACCTTGAACTTAGCAGGTACTCGAACATTGGGAACAAGGCAAAGGTCATTGACATTCTTTCCAAATAACTTTTCCCCCTAAGAGCCTTCATTTCTTTCTTCATTTCCAAGAACTGGTCTTTAAAATCATCCATACGGTCATGAATCCCAAAGCTTTCACTGGGAGCAGTAGCATCATGATAGACTTGATCATTGATAATAGAAACGTTATGCACAACAGGCGATGGGGTAACCATAACAGGCTAAACAAGATTACAGGATGAGAAACTTGAGCAGCTGAATTATACCCTTCAGGGATAAAGTTCTCAGGCATACCCCAAGGATAACCATGAGGTATCTGATACTGAGTAGAAATAGTGACAGGAGTAGCAACAATAGGAACCAGCAATATCTCAGAAATAACAGTAGTTTGTTGTTGAGGCTGAACCACATGAGGAGAAGGAGGAGGAGGAGGTGGTGGTTGATTCTGAGAAGCCACCAAGGATTCCACAAAAGCACTAAAATTGTCTATATTGGCTCTCAAGGAAGTTACTTCTTTGCGGAACTCGCAATTCTCTTGTTCTAGATTTTCCATCTTCTTCTCGTAGTTTTCCCGAGTGTTACAAGAATGTGATAGCTTGCTAACTGAACAGAGACTAAGAGAAATATGTAAGACACATGTGAATATTACAAGAATGCAAAAATTGTGTGCGACATGATGCATGATATGCAATGCACATGGTTTATTTTGTTTATTTTCAAGGAGCTTAAAGAACAATAACAATTGAAAACTTCAAAGGAATAACACTTTTTGAAACATTGAATAATCTCATTTAATTGATAATTTGGGAGGATTACAACTTTACTACAAGTTTCAATAATCCTAAATACAAGAGGAAGAAAACTAAAATATATGGATGCTAAGGAGCCATGTCTGAAAAGGATCTCACTTCATGCTGACGCTTTCCTTTGATCCTCTTGATCTGATCCTTCAACTAGTTATTCTTTGACACGAACTTATCAATGACTCCTTTCCATCCACCATAAGTAGGACGCATATGAGAATAGTCTTGAACCCTAGGAACTAGATGAATGCTAGAGGAAAATAAATCCTCTTGCTCTTCCATCTTCTCCATAGCATCTCGCTCAAGAATCTTAATCAAATCATATTTCTCATTTTATTTCCCTTGAAGTACCGAGTATTCCATATCCATAGTCTGATATTTGTTCTTCCAAGCACCCTTCTCTTATGGCATCTTGACTAAAGAAAGTTGAAGCTCTTCAACATCAGTCAAAAGAGGAGGAGTAGGCTCTTCAAAAATCACAGACAAGGGTTCTTGATGAGGATAAGGCATCTTCAACTGAATTTCCCTTGCTTGTACCTACCGAAGATAAAGTTACAAAGAAATAACACCTCTTTGTCCTAATGATTTTCTTATCTTCCTATGAATGTGACGCCATGATTTACTAATACTTTCCTTGGATACTTTGTTGTCTTCTCCCTCCTTGAGAAAGAAACCACTCGCAAGAATTTTACTTGGTTTTTCCTCGTCGAATATCTAAGTTGACGACGTGCTAGAACAGGGTTGTAGTTACTGTCTCCTTTTGTACCAAGAAGAGGTACATTGGGAAAACTACCACAGTTATCAATAATCCTTACCCCATAATAAGCTTGATTATACCATACAATATCAGAATGGGAAAGATACATAATCTTATTTGACCAACGTAATCCATCCTTGAAATCCCAAAAGGCAATAGACCGAGGAAAGTGAGAAATAAACCATTAGTATAACAAAGACGCACAACAAATAATCATTCCCTCTTGGTAAGAATTTTGAAGGTGAATGGAGTAATAAGAATCTCCAAACAACGTGGGGACTGGATTCCCAACCAAGTAGATCCTAATAGAATTAATATTAACAAAATTTTGACATTAGGGAACAAGAATAATCCATAGGTGAGTAGAGCAAAGATGGCCTCAAAAGTGTTCATACTCTTCATCCTAGCAAGAAACGAGCTTTCTCCAACAAGAAATTAGAAGGAAAACCCATAATACCTCCTTTAGAACTCATATGAGCCTCAATCTCATACTTTTTAGGTGATAAACTACTGCAATATCTTGATACTTAGGATCTTCTTTCAAACCAGAGAATAGAACATGATCAATAATAAGTCGATCAAATAGATAAGAATACTCCTCTAGTGTAGGCATAAGCTAATAATACAGAAAGGTGAAACACCAGTACAATGAATCATAGAACTGGACCAACTTAATGAGAATACCATCTTTCATGTTGACACCCAAAAGAGATAAAAGCACTCCATATTTCTTTCTGAAAGCCTTGGGACTGTCAACCAAATAACCCAACTTCTTCAACTCTTCTACCTTAGGAATCTTGTAACTGTACTTCTGAGTCTTTCTCCTTCCGAAATACATGCTTAAATACCTGGGATGTTTGAAAATAGATTCTTTAAGTTCCTTGAAAACTTTGGTAAAATAATGTTCATGGGTGCATGAATGCATGATGATGCAACAATCACACACAAAATCACAAACATGGGGGTTCATAGGTTCGACGTCACGAGCATGAAATCAAAGGTACTACCTACAAGGTATGGAATAATGGTTTATATCACCTATAGAACAAGGTTCTAAAAGTTCCCAGAGTCTAGGATCCTCTTTCGGACATTACCAGCGTCCCAATTTACTCGGTAATTAGCATTATCCTCAAGAGAAACTCGTCTGAATGCAGTGTCGCATGATAACTATTTCATGGTTACTCCTTCATAGTCTTTGAACTACATCCTAAAAGTCCAAGATGGATTAAAGGTTCTACGGTCCTCAACTTCTTTGGCTCCCAGGTCGAAATCAACAATGTCTTCCTGATTACTCAGTAAACAAATACTAAAGTTAAGAGAGCCTCCACTGAGCAGGGGATCTCATGCCAAATTTTTCAGGACTACTCCTTTTAAGTCAACATGACTATACCACCCATCCTAACTTAAGTTTTCCCAAGTCTGGGTACAGGACTTCCAAGAGATCACCAAGCACCCTATAAAACAGAAACATCCAGACGAGTAGCCAAATATAGAACAAATAATATCACATACACATATAATCAAAGGTAGGCTCAACCCACTTAGATATTAAATCCCAAGTGAATTCGCCAATTTTTCTGTAGTGGAAAAAAGTTGAGACTAAGCCATTGATTGACTTAACTCACAAAGTGAAAGTTTCCACCATACTTTATTGTTCCAACGGAATGGGAAAAGAGCGAACAAAACCCAAAATAAAGTAGAGATGAAGGTAAGGAAGTTTGTTATGCAAAGGGAAGGTATTAGCACCATAAACATCTACGGTACTCCGCAACAGCCTCTTTGAAAATCTGTGTACTTGGCTAAAAAGAAATATTTACAAAAAAAAAGTTGTAGAGATGAGAAAAGAAGTGTTTTTTTTTACAATATTTTATTTGACAAAGCATCCAATGAGCTCTGGGCCTACATACCAATAATGTTAAATGTTGAAATCAAAACCCATGTAGTTCAGGTAAAAAAGCTTGAAAGTTTGTATGTTGGTTAAATTTAAAGGAAAAGGTTTTAAAGTAAAAAGCCAAAGCGGAAAAATGGTTTGAACTTGTTTTGTGTTTTTAAAGTATTGAAGAAAGAAGTAATTTCTTAATTAAGATTGATTGACGACTTGATTAACAAAAGAGTTTTGAAAAGGCATGGACCAAAGTCTAAGTTTCTTATGAAAGCGGCTCAAGTTTGAAAGAATAAGAATCCTTTGAAAAGGGAGAATATTTTGAAAATTGAAGAATAGGATAAGATGAAGAGACTGTCATAAAGCATAAAGTAAAAGCTAAGGTAGGAAAATTCTAACGAGATAGGAAGCCAACACTTGACATAATGAAATCAACATAGAATTGTCATCCTTTGGATTAAAACCAAAAGCACAGAGTAAGCCAAGAGCATATCAATCATCATGTGAAAATAAATCACAAGTAAGTAAGTATCAAAGAAACTCAAGATATTAAAACCCAAAGCAAGGTCTTCAACATTGAACCTTGTATCACATAGATCAGTTAAGGCCAACATAACAGTTCCTGCACACAAAAGATTTCCCAATACATAAACAAAATAACAAAAAGGCTAAATAAAGTCCAAAGGTCTCAAGGTCTCCAAGTTTCAAGGCTTCTAATCCTAAATCCAAGAGGTCAAAACTCCAATATTCCAAGGATAGTAACCAATAGTCTATAAAGAGCCTTAAGTATTTTAATATTCAAGTTGGTTATTAAGTGTCTTAAAAAAGAAAAAGAAAGCCAAATGAGAAAATATAAAATGACATAAAGAAATAAATGCTCAAGTGAGCAAAGAAAAATTACATAAGGAAATTGAATACTATTTGTCCATCTGTTTCCCGTTAGTTAGTAGTGGTTGTAGTAGTCCCTTTTTTATGTGGTTGATATTTATTGTGTTAACATGATATTTTAACATCTTTGTAGAGTTTTGGCCAATAGAAGGAAGATACTAGTCAAACAAGAGTTATCTTAACACAAAAGTGGTATGGTTGGTGTGTTGATATATTCTTGAATTAGATCCTTTCAAAGATGCATGAGTTCTGGTACAAACACTTTATCTTTGAAATATAGAAACCCTTTAGAAAGTTTATACCAGTGGGGTTCATCATTATTGTATGCCTTCTCCTTTACTAACTCATTGCCTTCGTTGCTTGTTGTATAATATTGTTGAAGTTGGTGTACAAGATATGGTACTGGTGGTGATATAGCTGTCCGTAAGGGCTCATCTTCATTGTATTTTCTACTCAAAGCATCAGCAACCAGATTGGATCTCCCAAGTTTGTAAAAAAATCTCAAAGTTGAACCCTTGTAGTTTAATTTCTATTGTTCTGATGTTTGTTTTATTTGAAGAATTAAGTTTATCAAACTCTTTTAATCTGTGTAAATGTGGATGTGTTGAACAATCAGATATTTACGCCACTTTTTGATGGATTCAGTGATGGCATACATTTCCCGCTAATAAACTGAAGTCGCTTGCATTCTTGGACAATTTTTAATACTGAAGAGGGAAAATGGATGAACCTCTTGATACAATACAACCATGATGGCCACACTAGATGTACCTGTCTAAATAATAAATGTTTTTCTAAGTCTAGAAAATCTAGCAGTGGCATGTCAGTATTTTTATTTTCAATTTTGTAAAGGCAATACTAGTATCTACACTTTAAGAAAAATTAATAGAATGCAACAAGTTGATGAATGGAGTTGTGAGAGTGGCGTTGTTATGCCCAGATCGCTTATAAAAATCTGTGAGTCCAAAAAAAACCTTTGATTGTCGTGAGTGAATGAGGTTCAGGCCAATCCAAAATTGTGTGCACATTTTTTGGATCTGGGACAACACCTCCAAAACAAATCACATGACCTAAGTAATTGAATTTATCTACTGTAAAATACACTTAGATAAGTTGGAAACAAAAACATTTGATTTTAGTAAGTTAAAAATAATATGTAAATTAACTAAGTGGTCGTTCAAGTTAGAACTATAAATCAAGATGTCATCAAAATACACTAAAACAAACCATCATAAGTAAGGAGGTAGTAAATGGTTCATCGTTGAAAGAAAAGTGAATGTGGCATTAGTGAGCCCAAATGGCATCACAAAGAATTTGTAATGACCATCTAAAGTTTGAAAAATAGTCTTATGTGTATCTTCCAATGCGACTTATATCTAATCATAGCTTGAGCGTAAATCTATCTTATAAAAATTGATATGGTATCAAGTTCATCTAGTAATTAATTGATTGTAGGTATGGAAAATATGTCTTTGATTATAATAGCTTTGAGTGCTCTGTAGTCCATATAGGATTGTTGTGTTCCATCTTTTTTCTTACAAGTAATACTGGAGAGGGAAAAGGGTTATTACTAGGGACTATGGTGCCTTCCCTTAACATTGTCATGTACGATGGAAGTTATGGCCTCTTTTTTGGAATGATGGAAGTGGTAGGATTTCACATTAATAGGAGGTGTATTTGGTAGGAGAGGTAGGTAATATGGTCTTGTAGGATGAAGACCACTTGGGCTATGAAAAATAGTTGGGTAGTTGTGTATGAGGGTGGAAATTTATGGATCAAGAGTTGTGGTTAGGTTTTCAAAGGAAGAAAGAGTGGGATCAATAGGTTTCTTGGTTGAGCCTATACTTTGAACATTCATGAGGTGTAGGGATGCAATAAAGTTGGAATGTATTAGTTGGCATAGTTAGTGAAAGGTTGTATGTGTTGGATGTGATTTAGGATAACCTTTAAAGGATATTGAAGTATCTTTGGGGATGAATTTGGTTTATAGAATTCAAAAATATTCTTGTATTAGCCCTAGAGTGAGTAATTAAGCCATGCCAAGAACCACATTAGCACCTTCAATGGTGTAGCGGTGAAAATTGAGATTAAACTATTAATTAACTTAACTTACAAAGCAAGAGTCGCCACCGCACTTATTGTTTCTAAAGGAATGAGAAAAGAGCAAATAAAACCCACAGAAGTTTTAAACCAAAATTAATAAAACAAAGAGAATAAGGTTTGGAGGTTGGTTATTCAAAGAGAAGGTATTAGCACCTTAAATATCCATGGTACTCCATGGGAACCTTTTTAAAATCTGTGTTAAAGGCTAAAAATGTTTGTTTGCAAAAAGATTTTGAAGATGAGAAAAGAAATGGTTTTTATGATTTTTGATCAAGCAAAACTTCAAGAGTTGTGTGCCTACGTATCCCCAATGTGAAATGAAGAAATCAGAACCACGTAGTTCCTCTAAAAAAGAACATAGTTGTTTGTTGGTTCATTTTAAATGAAGAGGAATTTTGTCATCTTAAGAAGAATGAAATTCTGGTAGTCATATCACAGACGTCCTAAGAGACGTTGAGACACCTTTCTATGAAAAAACACACAATAACAAGATAAACTATACTAAAAGTGCATAAAAGTAAAGAACACACAGGTTTTTTAACCCAGTTTGGTGTACAACAACACTTACTCTGGGGGCTACCAAGCCAGAGACGAAATCAACTAGATAATATCAATTTGAAGCTAAATTCCCCTGTTTACAACTTTGCACTTAATCACTGCCCTTACTTAACTTCTACCTAGATTCACCTAGGTATGAGACCCTTCTTAAGTCCCTTCCAATCACAGACCAGTGACTGAACAATTCTAAACACTTAAAAATTAACAGAAGACAAACTTTAAAGACACACAATCATTCACTTCTTAAAAGCTTTGGAATGACTCACAAAACTTACAACTAAAAAAAGTCCTACTCTTTTATCAAGATGATAATCGAGAGGCTCATAATTAACACATAAACCCTAATTAAAATACACAGTAAGTTCCACACTTGTACTAGGGTTGAAGCCTTCTATTTATAATCTTCAAAGAACTGGACTTGGGCTTCACATATGCAGCTGGACATGACAGAGGCGCTGCAACATTATCTCCTCAAAGATAGGACATCAATCATTAGTTTCCTAAATTATCTCTATAATTAGAAACTAACAATTCTCCTCGAAATCAATGTGAATCTTTTTAATCTTCAAACGGTGCGCCACATAGGATAGCATAATATTTTACAGAATATTTTGCAGCTATAAAAAACTAAATCCAATAGTCCAGCTGTACAAAATCACGATGTCGAAAGAAATTCCATAGGACATCACATTCAACATGTTCCTCTAGTTGATAGAACATCTTCATCTAATATTTCTATGCTAAGTTAGTTTTACAAAACATAATTCCAATCACAACAAAACAGAGAATTAACAATCTTCCCATTTGGCTTATTTTGGCTAAAACAACTTAGCACATATTCCACACATAAACAACAGTAGCTCAAGTTTGAGAAGAACCTAAAACACACAACCAATCAGAGACACAACAGCAGCAGAAGTCAGTACAACAAATATCAGAGCAACAACTAGTGGAAGCTACTCAACATAACAACTAAGAGAATATCAAATTCTCAACATGTCAGGACATCATGTTTGACAACTCTTCAAACCAGCAGAAGTCAGTATAACAAATATCAGAGCAACAACTAGTGGAAGCTACTCAACACAACAACCAATAAAATATCAAATTCTCAACATGTTAGGACATCATGTCTGACAACTTTTCATAGTAGTCGAGTCCAGAACAGGGACTCCCCCTCAAAACCTGTTAACCTTCTAATTACCACTTCAGAGAATAGCACTTTCATTACTGCATAGTACACTTGGGATGCAGGAAGAAAGTCCTGAATCCAATTGGTGTACACGAGGAAGAAGATAGACTACATCTTCAAGAACAACTAAGCTACTCCCCCTTAAATTTAGAACCAATTCTTGACACAGAGTCTCAGGAGAATTTTCCTGTAACCTCAAGAAACCAAGAAGAATTCTAACTTGAATAACCAAAGTTAGAAGACCATGCGACAAAAGCAACACATATTAGAAAATCATGTGACAGAAGCAACACATATTAGAAGATCATGTGACATAAGTAAAAAGGCATAACAAACCAGACAAGATATTAGAACATCTTGAACGACATCCTATATACAATCACAACATAAGACTCATCAGATGAAGGAACAAAAAAACCTTATGCCAGAAAGTCATACTCCCCCGTAATTGTTGCAAGTAAGAAGAAACAACACTCAGAAAAGAAGACAAGACTCAACAACACAATTCCACTCTCCCCCTTTTTAGCCAAAATTGACTAGAGCAGAGTTTGAGAAAATAACACACACACACACACATACACACACACACAAAAGGAGAAAAACCAAGGGAAACCAAACGAGAAACCACAACATAACCTGAGAGAAATGGACCAGTAAGAGGTACTTAAACAACAAGGAGGTTATTATAGATAGCAATTATGCCTTGTTTGTAACACAAAAATCAGTCAATGCAGGTGATTTCTAAGGAAGAAAAGGTCATTCTTACTTTCAGTGCACCACTCATTTCCGGAGAGAGGCAAGGATCTGATCTATCTCTCTATTTCCAAGTCTAGACCGTTGAAATATTCCAGCACTAGAAGTGTCATATTTCATACTCTTGAGAACATTTCTCACACGTTCCTAGATGAGGAGACAAAGTAGTCACATTGTCCATAAAATACTACACTTCTTCCCTCCATACCTTTTGACATAATGTGCACACTATCATACTTGGAATTTAGAGACTAAGCACTCCAAAATAAAATGTCAACACAACTGGTTGAACATTGCCTTCAAATAAGAGTCGAGTGCCCAACCTATCTGTCTTCACCATAGTCCAAAAAAATAACTTCATCAGACTTAGCCAAGAGTGTTACTCTATAATTTCTCTAACAAAATCAACAACCAAAATAAATGGCTTTTTGAAAATAGCCATAAGGACTACAAAATTTTCAGATATAGCTCCTCCTGATTCTTGGAGACATAAAATGCAGAGATGTTGTCCCAATATACATGGATGACCAAAACACTTCATATAGCAATTTTCTTTTCCACCATAATGATAAACCATTATCCCTTGTCTTAGACAGTTAATTCTCCTCCTTAAGAGTAAAACCCAAGACAAAAGAAACTCCAAGACAACAAATCAATATGATCTTTCCAAGTTCACACATCAGGAAGGATGTCATAACATTTGGTAGGACATCATTCACACACTTATGCTACCATCAATAGTAGTAGTAGAGACATACTATAGTCTTAAAATAAACCAACCTTGATCATATTTAAGTTGACTTACACCTCTTGCCTCTATCAAATATCCTTCTACACTCCTTGAGTTTGTCATAAGTTTTAGGAGTATTATCACGGACCTTTCCTATCATCAGACATTTCTTCAAGTCAGTTTTTTGTTGGATTTTTTGTTCCACCCTTTAACAGTTGTTACCATAGCAACATGGAGGGAGGATAGAGAATCTGTTGCATTCCTCCCCATCAATAATTTCCGTAATTCTTTACCATTTTATTTTTCTTTGATAGTGCTCATCCAAGCAGATTTTGAAAAACCATCAACAATTACACCAACATAGCTTTTCTTACCAAAACTGTCAACCTGCTTAGGTTCCATTAGCACCATATGAAGAATTTCTGACCTCTTGGAAGTAACTTGATGATGCAACTTCGGGTGTGACATCTTGGTTTGCTTCCTTAC